GGCAAACCCGTTTCAAAAAAAAAAAAAAAGAAAAAAAATATTATAAATTCTTTATCCGACATTTCTGTGAGTTCTATTATACTTTCTGTGGAAGAAGAGGAGTTATTCTTTTTTGAGGGGAGAAAGTATTTTCTTCATTTCTCATATTTCTTGTACCTCTGCAGTGATTTCTAGTCATCTGCTGGGATATTTGTTTCTTCCTAATTTCTAGAATTTCACTCTGAGCAATCAGACACATGCAGGAGGAGGTAACCTGCAAATCTTTGCTGTTGCATTTTTTTCCCTTTGTGCCAGAGATTCAGTGGAAATTGAGGAATATGTTGACCCTAATAGTATTCGGATGATTGACTGAATTTCACTTTGACCTGTCAAGACATTCAGTGCATGGAGGCTGAGCAGCAAAGTGATGAGGTAAAGGAAAAGGATAAGAAAACACAGGAAGAGACAGAGAAAAAATATTACTTATTTTAAAAAACAAAAAATGAAACCAGACAGCACTAATTACCAGCTCCCATGTAGAATAGTCTTCTTCTGAAGGCCTGCCCTTTTTGCCTCTCCTAAATGGGAGGGAGGAAAGGGGATTATTAACAAGATAAAGGAGGATTTCAGAGCCAAGAAAATACATTATGTGAACAAATTTAAAAAATAGAAAAATTTTAAAGAATGAAAAGACAGAAAGAGACAGAGAGAAACAGAGAAAAGGATAACGGAGGCTCTACCATGATGACTTTTCAGTGAAAATCTTTATTTTTCTTATTCCCTGAAAGCATTAGATCTCAGCACTCATGGAGGACTCAGTCTTCTGAAGTCCTGCCCTTTTTGACTCTTTTAAATGAAGAAGAAAGAGGATTATTAGCAAGATAAAGGAGGATTTGAAAGCCAAGAAAATACTTTACCTGAAAAAATTTTATAAAAAGAAAAATTTTAAAAATGAAAAGACAGAGATAAAGAGACAGAGAAAGACAGAGAAAATGATAAAGAGGGCTCTACCAGGGTGATTTCTCAGTAGAAAATATTCATTTCTCGCTCCTTGAGAGCATTAGATCTCTGGTCTCATGGAGGACTCAGTCTTCTGAAGGCCTGCCCCTTTTGTCTCTCCAGAGTGATTTCTTTCTTTTCTCTTTTTTTTGTATAGGTTTTTGCTATAGGGTACGTGCACTCACCAGACAGACAGACAGAGACAGAGAGATAGAAAGCAAGAAATCACCCCCCAGGGGGGATGGCCATGCTGCAATCCCTTCTCCTCCATTCTCCTCTTGGGATCTTGGGCATGCACGCACACGTTCCCAGTGTGAGTTTAAGCCACTGGGTCCAGGACTCGAACCGCGGTCGACTACCTGGGAATCCAGTGACATAGCCATTACGCTAAATTTGAAAGCCAAGAAAATACTTTACCTGAAAAAATTTTATAAAAAGAAAAATTTTAAAAATGAAAAGACAGAGATAAAGAGACAGAGAAAGACAGAGAAAATGATAAAGAGGGCTCTACCAGGGTGATTTCTCAGTAGAAAATATTCATTTCTCGCTCCTTGAGAGCATTAGATCTCTGGTCTCATGGAGGACTCAGTCTTCTGAAGGCCTGCCCCTTTTGTCTCTCCAGAGTGATTTCTTTCTTTTCTCTTTTTTTTGTATAGGTTTTTGCTATAGGGTACGTGCACTCACCAGACAGACAGACAGAGACAGAGAGATAGAAAGCAAGAAATCACCCCCCAGGGGGGATGGCCATGCTGCAATCCCTTCTCCTCCATTCTCCTCTTGGGATCTTGGGCACACACACACACGTGCCCAACATGAGTTCTATGCCACCAGGTCTGGGATGTGAACCGTGGTCAACTACATAGGAGTCCAGTGACATAGCCATTACGCTAACTGCTGGTCCCTCTAGGGTGATTTCTCAGAAGAAAATCTTCATTTCTCTTATTCCCTGAAAGCACTAGGTCTCAGCTCCAATGGAGTGCTCAATCTTCTTCTTCTTTGATATAGGTTAGAAACCTCTGATTTAGAAAGAAACTATTTAAAGAAACCTTAGTCACCTTAAGGGTTTCCTTAGGCTTTTAGGTGAGATTTTCAGATGTGTAAGGGGAGCCATTGGGTTCTAGGGCCCCATATCAATCCTCAATTTCAAAGGCCAGCATGGACTCAGAAGTTCTGAGCTCCCTTCAGAGCTCAGGAAATTCTTATCTCTAGTGACCAACTCCACATATGGGACAAAGCCCCAGTGGGAAAACATGAGGATGCCAGTTATGGGCATTGTCCAGTGCCCAGGCTGCCCGTAATGGAAAGAGAGCTTCTTTCGAGGCAGAGGCTCTGATCTGGGCTGTTTCCAGATACTGCCCTTTGAGAAAGTTTTCAGCCTTCAGGATTACCACAGGTGACTCTTAGGTACTTTTTAAGTGAAAATTAAATAAGGTTAAAGTGAATTGCCAGTTTGTCACACTTTTCTGAGTTATCTGAGAACTTCTTTAGATCTGTTCTGATCTGGGAGAGATCTCTTTTTTTATTTCAAGTTCATTTATACATTTGATCATATTATTTGGCTTCAAAGTGAATATTCCAACATGTATACATTTCTTCCCAGTCCAGTTGATAATACTATAAAGTTACCTTCAACAGATAATACCTTATTTCTTTGTCCCATTAATGCTTTGCCTCTCTATTTTTCTTCTAAATGTCCTTCCTCAGACTCTATTCCTTCACCCACCCTCTTCTCACACTATATATGGTATTCACAGCCATTTACTGTGTTTCTATATCCTTTACTCATTCAGTTTCAGTCATAGAATGTGGACACTTGGTATATATTAAGTGGGGACATACAATGTCTCTCCTTCAAAGCCTGGCTTGCTTCACTCAGCAGTAAATCTTCCATATTCATTCACTTTCTGTCAACAGCCAGTCTTGTGTGTGTTTTTTTAATTTGTTTTTCTTTTTTAAATGGCTGAGTAGTATTCCATAGAGTATATGTGCCACAGTCTTTTAATCCATTTATCTGTTCATTGGCATTTGGGGGAGAGATCTTACACTGAGAAGTGAACCTAAGTTCCAATAGATCTTGCAAGGAGCAGCTGAGTATCACCAGGAAGACAGAGCCCAATTTACAGCTTTCACAGGAAATCTTCCTTATTGACTATATAAAAACTCTGTGGAGTTTAAACTCAATTTAAACTTATAATAACTCTTGTTTTATGGCTAAGCCTTCTGAGCATCTAACTTGTATTGAGGTGAGGCCTAGATCAGTCTAAGTTGCTGAGGATATAGCCAAAGGGAGAATTCAAATGGGAAGAAATTTAACTGAAGAGAAAACAGAAGGCACATATGAATGCAGGGAGAGAGAAGGCAGCCAGGGGCTCTGGCCTTAACTAGTCCCACCCTGTGCCTTGAGACCTCTACTCTTCTAAGTTTTTCCTTAGCTTTTTGTCCCTGATACAAAGACCCTTTTTTTGTGCTAACTGCTCATGGTTATCTTTTCCTCCCCCACCTTAGGAAATATGGTATTTCCCAGGGGAGTTATTAAACTTGTAAACTTAAATGTATTAATAGAATTGCATGCATGCATTTTAACCAGAATTTTTTTTTAGTTTTTAGCAACCCTGAATTTTAGCATATATCAGTAGCTATGAACTGTTGTTTGTATACAAACAGCAAAACTTGTTTAACAAATTTTTCAATACAGAATCAAACAATCTTTTTTTTTTTGAGAGGTTTTTTTTTGATATAGGGTGCGTGCGCTCGCCAGACAGACAGAGAGAGACATAGAGACAGAAAGCGAGAAATCACCCTCGGAGGGGGGTGGTGACGGCGCAATCCCTTCTCCTCCATTCTCCTCTCAGGATCTTGGGCACTCACGCACACATGCCCGGCGTGAGTTTTAAGCCACCAGGTCTGGGACGTGAACCGCAGTCGACTACATGGGAGTCCAGTGACATAGCCATTACGCTAACTGCTGGTTCCCCAGAATCAAACAATCTTAATAGACCAACCCAATCTCTTTCTTTCTTATAAAATCTAAACAACTAACTATAGGAATAATCAAAGCATGTTAACTTAATGAGAATTGTAAGGAATTCTTAGGAAGAATCAGGCAGCAGTGCTCTCCATGGGTCCATGCTTAACATTAGATTCATATCCTTTATACCAATTTTACTTCTTTAATTCAGGTGTATTGCATCACTTTACTTATTAAGTAAATTGTTACAGGTTATTTGACTTGAATCTAAACTACAGATCTTAACAATTTACTTTGATCTCAGACAGTGGGCCTGGAAGTACTATACAGTTAAACAATTTGGTATTGGCTGCTTAGTTAGCAGAAACCTTTACTTATAGTAGTACATCCTCTTTCCATCCTCTTTGTAATTTCCTTAGAGATATAACATGCCAAGACCACAGGCACTGGTCTTTCCTGGGGCTACTTTTACACCACACTCTCCAGAAAACCCTTTTTTGAAGTTTTTTTAATCATACAGACAAGGACAGTAGGTTTCACCTTGCCCCTGCCCATATTGTCACCTATCAGAATTTTTCGCCAATTTCCTTCCCCGAGACAGAACCATTTGTTACTTGGAATTAGTTACTAAGTCAAAATGTTGACTATTTTTACTAGTTTAAATAAGCATTTCATACATTTCTAAAACAGAAAAAAAAATGTGCTATGGAAAAATTAATTAGGACAAATATTTTAAAATATTACTCATTTTGATCTTTCTCTCTCTTTTCACAGTGACTGTTTTGAGCCCAGCAGAAAAAGGTAAGAGAATGCTATAAATTGTCTTGGTCAAGAATGTATCCTTCCTTCCCCCTAACAGTAAATTACATAAGTTTATAAACTAAGCAACTTTTCCAGGAATATATTTAGGTGAGTGGAAAATTTAGGATGATGGTTTTTAGGAAGCTTACCCAGCAATAAAACAGAACATGTTTTCAGTGACACTTTTGACTATAGGACAGGGATTGGAAATTGCCAGGTCTTAAAGCAGAGATGTGCATAGATAATCACTCTGTGTCCAGAGTGACCCTTAGCTCTCTCTTGGCTTATAAGTGTTGCCCTAGTACCTTACCTTTTTACCCAATCCATCCTCTCTTCAAGACATAAAATAGGGGCCCCACACAGGGCTATAAGGACTCATTCCTTCCCTAGTGTCAGTATATTTACCATGCTTTTCTCCTCTTGTCACCACTTTCTTGACCTGCAATTTATACTACCTTTCTAAAGAGATTGAAGTACATTCTATTTTTTAAAAAAACGTAAGCTGGGGACCAGCGGATGACATAATGTTTACATCACTGGACTCCCACGTATACGACTGGTTCAAATCCCAGACCCATCTTTAACTCACACTGGGCGAGTGTGTGTGTGTGTGTGTGTGTGTGTGTGTGTGTGCCAAAAATCCTGAGAGAATTGAGAAGAAGGGATGGCAGCGAGGTCAACCCCCCTGGGGGAGTGGTGATTTCTTGCTTTCTGTCTCTCTGTCTCTCCAGTGAGCATGTGTACCCTATAGCAAAAATACTTCTCTCTCTCAAGAAAAAAGTAAGCTAAGTCTTAGCTTTTAGCTTTACCTTATTTTATCATTAGTAACCATGAGTATTTATGTAGCCACTTTATATAGCTACTTTCAATTCTTACTTTATAGGAATTAATTTTTATAATTTATTAACCTACCTAGAGGCATTGGCTATAAAGGCAACAGAGCAGAGTGGAAGGGAGACAATAGACCACAGTCATTAAAAGTGTAGGTCCTGGAGCTGGACTGTCTGAATTCAAATCTTGGCTCTACTACTTTGTAGTAAATTATTTTACCTTCTTATGCACATATTAATAATAATGCTTATTTCATAGAGTTGTCATAAATATGTAATGAGTTAATGCATGTGAAGCACAGTAGTGAACAAAGGACATACTGATGATGTTTGCTACAATTATAGTGTTGGTGCAAGTCTTGAGTTGCCTCTTGTTCTTATGTATGGTTCTTCAAGTCAGAGATCTTCTGTATACAAATACTAAATAATTATAAATAAATATTTTCCACAGTAAACTTTCAAGACAAATTGGGAGGGCTATTAGATGATGCACTACTATAAAAATAATGACAATAATAATCTCATTAGTACTGTAAACTGAAACTTACTGTGCTTGATAAGTCTGCTAAGTAGTGTATACACATTACATTCTTCAATATTTGCATCAACATGATGATGTGCATACTCTTATATTCATTTTATACACAAGGAAACTGAAATTTAGAGAGGTTAAGCAACTTATCCCAGATCATGTAGCTAGTAAATAGTAGGATTCAAATTCAGAGCTGTCTGACCTCAAAGCCCATACTCTTAAGGAAACCTACATTTGTATTTTGTTTTTCAGTCTACAACTCCTAGGTTTGCTTTGCTGAGCTCCTTTCTTGGAGACTTGATACTCAATTACTCTTTTTTTTTTCTAGTGACCAAAGTACCACATCATCAATGTGTGTGTGTGTGTGTGTGTGTGTGTGTGTGTGTGTGTGTTTTATCAGTGAGTTCAACTACACTACATTTGTAAAGTCAACTCAGTTCAAAGTTATCCTGGTAGCAACAATCCAGTTACTAAGATCTGAGTTCTCTAGAATATTTATGTTACAATATGAAGTCTCTTCAAACATTATGATTCCAAGATTCCAAATCACTTTTCTTCTCGGAAATCATAAATTTATTGACACAATAAAGATATTTGATTTTGCTTCTTCATTCTGCAGAGTGCATAATGGGACACAGCACAGGATTTAGGAGAACGATGATCTGGGTTGGAGTTCCAGTTCTATCATTTACTAGTTCTATGACCTTGGGCACCTTTGGAAAGTGATGTTACTTCTCCAAACCTTAATTTCTATAAAATAAGGCTAGTTTACTAGCATCTGATAGATTTATCATAAGCTAAAGTAAAAAGATGCTTTGTAAATATTAAATATTAACAATCTCATTTGTTCCTCCTTTCATGTAAGGATTTTCAAAGATAGTGGAATCCATAAGCTAAAATAGAATTCAATTATAACCAAAATGTCCAAAGTTCTGCTAAAAAACTTCTGAACACTAGAGCAGGTTACTGAGGGATTCTATAAAAGTCACTTTTCAGAAAGTATTGGCCACTATCTGGCATAAATCAGTGAGCCTTGTCTAGAAATAGACGAATAGGATAATGACTATCTGAAATCTCTTCTAGTCCTGTGAATCTGTGACATGTTTCATACTGTGCTGCACTGTTAAAATCAAATACAAGATGGCTGATAGTAGAAATATTCTTTGCCATAGGCAAATATATATATGTATATATATATATATATATTAATATGATATATAAATACTCTCAAATCATATAATCTTTCATTCAGTCACCAAAACTTAAGAAACCCATTGTTACACATACTACAAAAGGGTTCCCATTTCTTGTCTACCTACTAGTACCTGTACTGGGTTGAAGATGATTTCTCCATGGTGACCCCTGGGAAGATATGTCCACATCCTAACTCCTGAAACCTATGACTATGAACTTATTTGGAAACAAGGTCTCTATGGATGTAATTTAGTTAGTGATCTTAAAACCACATCCCCTTGGGAGGTGCTTTCTTGCTCGCGCATGCTCTCTCACTCTCTCTTTTGCATGTGAGCATGAAAGCACATGTGCCCTTTACCAATAAGAAAAAAGAAAAGACAGGGAGAAAGAGGAAAATGCTGTGTGAAGACAGCAACAAAGACTGGGGGTAATGCAGCCACAAGCCAAGAGGGCCCATCAAACCACAAGATTCTGGGAGATATGTGACCAGCAGTTAGTGTAATGGCTATGTCGCTGGACTCCCATGAAGTCCATTGCAATTTGCGTCCCGGACCCGGTGGCTTAAAACTCATGCCGGGCATGTGTGTGTGCGTGCCCAAGATCCCAAGAGGAGAATGGAGGAGAAGGGATTGCGGTGTGGCCATCCCCCCTGGGGGGTGATTTCTCACTTTCTGCCTCTCTGTCTCTCTCTCTATGTCTGGTGAGCACATGCACTTTATAGCAAAAATCTATCAAAAAAAAAAGGAAAATAAAAAGGAAACAAAGGAAAGATTTGGGACAGTCAAAGAAGGAATCTCCACTGGAGCCTTCAGAAGAAACATGGCTCTGTTGACACCTTAATTTCAGACTTCTAGCCTCCAGAATTTTGAGAGAGTAAATTTCTGTTGTTTTAAGATATCAGCCTGTGGCAGTTTGTTACAGCAGCCCTTTAAAAGAAATGTGGTTTATTCCTCATTCCTTTCAGTATACTCCTTCAGAGATCAAAAATACCATGTTTATAATCAAACAAAAAGAGTGTTTCTCCAAAATCCATGACCACTTGGAACTTGTCATTGTGACCCTATTTAGAAACAGGGTCTTTTCATATGTAATCAAGTTAAGACGAGGTCATGCAGTGTTAGTGTGTGCCTTAATTTGGTAACTGGTGTTCCTATAAGAAGAAAAACTTGGATATACAGGTACACACAGAAAGAAGATGTCCATGTAAAGACAGAGGCAGAGACTGGAGTTATGCTTCCACAAACCAAGGAACACTAAGAATTGTCAGCAGCCTCCAGAAGCTAGGAAAAGGCAAGGATGATCCTCCTCTGGAGCCTTCAACAAGAGTATGGCCCTGCCTACCCCTTGATTTCAGACTTTCAGCCTCCAGAACTGTGATATAATAGGTTTCTGTTATTTTAAATAACCCAGTTTGTGGTATGGTGCCATAGCCTGCATGTCAAGATATGATCCTGAGTAGGAGCGCCGGTGGATTTGGAAAAAAAGACAAAGACACACAAGTAGAGAAAAGCAGGGATTGGGTGGTCTGGGTGTCTCTGATGGAGATAGCCTCAGTACTCAGCCATTTCCAGGTTTATTTTTATATAGGGCAAAAAGGAATAGGCAGCAGAATGCAAAGCCAGGCGTTTTGCTGTTATCAACTGAAACTATGGAACATCTTGTTTCTTGCAGTTCTGAGCTAGGCTCTTGTCTCCCCTGGCCCACTCTGGTTGATACACAGTCTCTCTACCTCTCCTGACCATGCAGCACAGGCACAAATTGTAGGAAACTGTGCCTTTGCTCATCTTTAAAGGTTATCATTGTTCTGCCCAGATCCAGCCACTCCCTACAGTATGGGTTGAGTATCCCTTATCCAAAGTGCTTTGGATTTTGGAATATTTGCATATACATAACAAGATGTCTTTGGGATGAGACTCAAGTCTAAACATGAAACTTACTCATGTTTATGTGCTTTATACACATAGCCTGAAGGTGATGTTGTACCATGTTTTTGTATTTCTGTATTTTGACTGGGATATATCATATGAGGTCAGGTATGGAATTTTTCCACTTGTGGCATCATGCTGGCACCCAGAAAGTTTCTGACTTTGGAGAATGTTGGATTTCATATAAGGGATGCTCAATCTATAGATTGTTACTGCAGCCCTAGGAAACGAATACAGTTTGTGATAAATTTCAATCTGTAATGTACTGGTAAGAACACTGTAACACTAGCAAACAAGCAAAGACTTTGGTGTCAGACCTACCTGAAGATCAAGTCTTTGTTACTTACCACATAATACAATGCTGGGGAATTTAACCTCTCTAAGCTTCAATTTCTTACTCTGTAAAATGGAGACAATACCTCCCTTTCATGGTTATTTTGTGTACTAATGAGATGATATATGTATGTCTCTTGGCATAGTGTCTAGTCCATGACAAATACAAAATAAACAGCAGTGAAT